GGTAAGCAGTGTCCAGCTGGAGTCTGCATCCTGAACCCCTGCCCCAGTCATAAAACCTCTCCTGCATCTAAAGCCTTTGCCCTAGCTCTGAGCCCCCCTTGACCCAAACTCCCTTACAAAGCCTGTACCCTGAACCTCTCTCCTGCACCCCAACTCCCTGCCCCAAGCTCAGCTCAGAGCCCCTCACATGCCAAATCCCTGGACCCAAGGCCAGAGCCTATGCTCCAGCCCCTTGCTCCTGCCCGATGAAGAGGAGGAAGGATGAGAAGGGAGGGAGAATGGAGTGAGCAGGGGCAGGGACTTGGAGAGGGGCACATGGCAGGTGAGGCAAAGGGTATTTGGGTTTAAGGTAGATCCTGGATTGCACTTGTATTCAAAAAAGTAATCCTGTGCTTAGAAAGGTTGGAGACCACTGGTTTAGACAGTCTGACCTATGCAGTAAAAAAACCTGAACACGTGTTTAGTCTGGAGAAAAGATGATTGATGGGGCAGAATCTGATAGTCTTCAAATCTGCTAAGGGCTCTTGCAAAGAGGATGGTGATCAATTGTTCTCAGGTCTGCAGCAAGGCACATATAGGTTTCATGTGAGGACAGACTTTCAAACTGTCAGGACAGTTAAGCACGGAGGCAGACTTCCAAGGAAGGCTGTGGAAACTGCCATTGCAGGTTTGTAAGAACAGGTTAGACAAACATTTGAAGGGAATGAGTTAGGTTCACTAATGGTCCTGCCTCAGCTCAGGGGCTGGACTTGATGACCTCTCTTGGTTCCTTCCAGTCCTACATTTCTATAAATCTGATATTCTACTGCAAAAGCAACATATGTGGATCCTTATGAGCCACTCCCTCAACAACTAGACCTGACTAGCCAGTTTCTTCCTTTTCCTGATGCTGCGAAGTGCAAAAAGTAGAGGAAGAACTATTTCATGCAATTGCTCTTAGCTTTCCTCTAAATCTATTTATAAGACCTCTTCAGTTTCCTGAGGACAAAAACCTGATCCTCTCACCAGCTGGGCGGTCTGCTAGGCTAGTGGAAGAATTCCAATTCACTTTAAATAACTTCTTCTTTCGATTGTTAGAGTTTTGTTTTATTAGGTGGGCTATCCTGTACCCCCTGAAGGCATCACGGGGCAACTTGATGTTCCTATTCTACATTAAAGTACAACTAGAATATAGGCTTGCCAGATGCTGTCACCAAAAATCCCAAACATGGCAGGAAAAAAAGAAAAGGAGACAAAAGTTGAGCAAAAAAAACCCCCAAAAAACAAAAAAAGTCACTGCGCCTTTAAGAATCACCACGCTCCTCACTCCTCATGCCCCCACCCGACGCAGCAGGGGAAGAATGTTCCCGCTGGCCTTCCATCCAAAAAAACAGGTATTTTCTGTGGGTTTGGTTTTTTTTTTTTAATCAGACAGGGGCCAGAAATAACAGACTGTCCGGGAGAAAACCGGACACCTGGCAACCCTACTAGAATCCCTAATCCATGCTCATTTATCACTGAAATGTGTGTCAGTTAAAAAACAACCCAAGATGTTTGGAAAATTTCTGTAAATTATACAGGTTGAATTTCTTTAGTCTGGTGCCCTTGGGACCTGACCAGTGCCAAACCATGGAAGGTCAATATCGTCAAGCAGCATTACTAACGCTTCCACTGCTTACTGGGCTTTTAGAAGACAGTTGGGGCGAACAGCAGCACAGAGCCAGCACTGATGGCTGTAAACTTTATGGGACTCATGGTGAGTGGACATCCAGCTAACTAAAATCATGCCGGGCTATGGATGTTGTCGAACCAGAGAAGTTCAACCTGTAGCGTGGCGGCATGTGGCAGAGGATGGTCCACAGATCCACCAATAACAGCTTCCCAGGAACGCCAGGGAGGATAAGCAACTTCCAAAACTGAAGGAAATTTAAAAACTCTTGAGCTTCTTGGAACCCAAATACCTCCATGCAAGGCATCTCTGAGGCGGTGAGTTGACCATATTGCACTGTGTGCAATAAAGAAGTCATTGCGTTTTATACAACTGGTTCTTTTATCTGATGATTGATGGCAAAAGGAAAGCTCAGACAGCATGATGCAAACTGACTGTTTTTAAAGCAAAACATTGACATTCTTTACGTTGACAACATCCTTTATCTTTCTGAAGTGCCACAACTGCCAACTGTCTGGCCAGGCTCCACTGCTGGCCCCAGCTCTGGCCACCCGGCTCCATGCTGCCAGCTCTTGGCTCCTCTCCTGGCCACAGCTCTCTGGTCCTGCAATGGCTGCTGTCTTGCTGGACCACTCATGTTGCCGAACTGGAGTGTCCCGGACCTCAGAGATTCAACCTGTACTAGCCTCACACTGGTGTTTCAAAGCTTAAGTCATTCATGCTTGCAAAGCATTTCAATATTCTCAAATGGAAAGGGACCTACGACGGCACTGCATCATCACCACAACAGAATGCACCACACAAGAGTATCCGTAAAGTGCAGAAGTCACCTTCTGCAGGATGAGCTTTTTATTAGTCTATGCTGTCCAGGCCAGCTGACTCGGGCTAAGGGGCTATCTAACTGCAGTGTGGATATTCGGGCTCCAATTGGCACTCAGGCCTTATGACCAATGTGAGATAAGAGTCCTAGAGCTTGTCCAGTGCTTAAACAGCCCATTAGTTGGAGTCCCGCAAGCCTGGGTCAACTGGCATGGGCCAGTCATGGGTTTTACGTGAAGCGTGCCAGGCCCACAGATAACATTGAGAGCACAGATCTGGTGACAGAACAGTTTCCAGTTCACCCCTCTCAAGAAGCCAGACCTACTCTTTACATGTAGGTGTGAAGATAACAGTTTGAAAGTGCTGCATTCCCAGTTCAACTACATATCTTGCACTTCTGCCATAGAAGTCTGAGTGGTGGCTGTGTTTCTAATCGCTCCCTGTTTTACTATGAGAAGGCCGACAACTTCAATAGGTCTTCTGCATTCAATCAGCTGGCTGTTTCTACATCAGTGTGATGCAAGGACGAATCTCACAGACCACTCTGGCTCCACGGCTGTTTCAGCCTCTAGTTTCTCACGTCAGACACCAAAATACCTCCATAATGAAAATCCTTGTGCCATTGGGCAGGCATATATGCAAAAGGAGGAGGCTTGTATAATGAATTAAAGCCTGCATTATTTCTAGCATTGTTACTGAAGGAAATGAATCAGCTAGATAAGTGATGAAAAAATGGTGTTTTGCAGCACATGCTGATGTAGTTCAAGTACATTTTTTGGGTGCAAGATACGCTTAGGCTCAAAGAAAGTGGAAGGAAATTTCCCATTCTGATGCTTAAATGCACACTAAAGCAGTTGCCAGCATGGGGGATCAACATTTAAAAGCCACAGAGCAGGTCTGGCACTTAGTCAACCCATGCCTGAAGATGAGCATCACTGAGATAGCATCTGCATTCCAAGTTGCTGCAAACAGGCACGAAAGTAGAATTGGTCTGTATGTTGTGCACAAGACTGGCAGTACGGCTATGGAGTCAACGAACACACCACCCATCATGCACTCACCAACATCTCAAACAGCACTGACAGGCAAACCATTCTATATTGAGAAACTGCAGAGGAAATATTGAGAAACCTTTCTATATTGAGAAACCTCTCGCACCTGCTCTATTCTTTGTCCAGCTTGAAAGACCCCCTACGCATCAGCAAGGGCCCACTCCGAAAGTTACTGCTAACAGTACAGCATCATTCCTTTTATACTATTATGCATAGAGCTTGAATCCAACCCCCAATGTGGGACTTGGAGCAACAAGTGCTGTTCCTTGCCTAGCTTCTGTTCAACTACCAGTGTGGACATTCTGACAGGGCATATTTTCACAATACTGTCACCGATTACGTGGGGCTACAGTTGTTCAACTATTTCCACAGATGACGTTTACTAGTGAGAGACTGTCGGAGTTAATTAAATTCCTAAATACTGATTTCATTAGACAGCCTAAGACGATCACTTACAAGGTGAATTATGGCTTAATTGTTCCAGTTTTACCTGCTAATGAAAATGCACGGTGCCATTAGTGAAGCCTGTCAGCTACATTTATGTGTGCAGAAATGATCTGACTCTGCTTTGGAGAGCTAATCCTGTCCATGAAAACAGTGTGAATGTCACTTTCAAGTACAGTAAATAACAATCCCTAAAGACAGAAAAGACATATGGGAATATGCTCAGAACAGAGCAACACATCACAGGATCAAGAAACCAACTACATATTCCACGTCTAGGGGAAGAGAGTGCCATTGAAATTCGGCAGAACAGAAACAAGTTTGTCTCCTGAAAGAACTAATCAAATATTTAACATCTTCTGCTCATGAGAAAATAAACAACAGTGGAGAGACTGATTATGCTCTTTATTATGAGGCTCTCTCCATTTCAGGACTTATCCACCATTTATCTATTTGTTTCTCATTACTGTTAGCTATGTGAAGCAGCAGTGCTAGTTAGTGACTTTCCAACACCTTTCTTGACATTCCAGAAGATGATTTCTGAGCATTAATGTACAAATCAACTGCTGCTCCTTTTGCTATGGTCCTTAAACGTCACCTTTCCAACCTCAGAGAAGCAACCTAAATCCATTCAACGGAAGTAATAAAATCTACAAAATGTTTGCACCCCTTTTACATTTGCCCATGAAAATGGCTGACTACACAGTGAAACCTCCCATAGCTTTTTAACTAAAAAGCCTAGTTAAAACCTCAAGAATACTATGCTCTGACACACTGAACTGTAAAAGCTCCTACAACAAGCATTAATTTGAAACAGACGTTACAGCAGACACATGAAACTACATATGACTACCGCTAAAAAGACATCTACAGCAAAGGACAAGACAGAGTGAGATGTGCTTAAAATTTAAGAAAATCAAAAGAAAAGCAAATTAAGATGATACACAGAACAAAGGGGAAACGCTACAGTACAAAAGCTCAGCCTCCTCCCTCTTCAAAACAAGACAAGCACTGCCACGAAGAGAATGTATAGTTACCTGCATCCATATCTGCAAAGAATGGAACAGCCAGTAAGGAAAAGAAGGAACCAGAAATTCAGTGTCTCAGAGTTGGATTTAAAGTTCATAAGGAGAATAAATAAAAATCAAGAAAATATTTTTAGTGAAAAATATACCTCGGTTATGCGCTATGATGATATACATGATCTCAAAATATAAAACTGACTACGCTGAAATTAAAACAACAAATACAGTGAATGTTTGAACTACATATTAAACTGCAGCATAACAAACTAGAAGTTGTTTTAAGTAAAAACTGTTCTGCTCCATGTTTTAAAAATAATGGAGCAAATTCATAGCAAGTTTCATTTGAAAGTCTTCACTAACTCTGGTACAACAAACTGAAGGGCCCGATTCTGTATACATCCAATATCAAGGGTGGTAGGTATAGCCTTCGGCAGCCAAACTGAAATTAACAGAAGTACTCATAGTGCTAAGTGTTACATTGGGTAGTGATTATTTGCAATTATGAAACTGAGATTAAGAACATTTCCCATACAGTAAATACTGCATGGGAAAGCATTTAAAAATGCTACCCTATTACAAAAAAGTATACAACTGGTTCCACTTATTTACATTATAACAAGCGTTAAAAGGAAATATACTTGATTTTTACCAACATTTCAGAGTGATGAATGAGAATTTTCTTTTACTATACTATTTCTCTAAGCTATATAAAAACAAAGATTAACAGTGCCTTGCATGAGAGCAAAAGCACTGCTAAAACACTGCAAAAGCATGCTTTTAATCATCCACATAGCCACTTACCTTCAGGTGATTCCTCCTGGACATATGTGCCAGTCAGATACCGGTGCACAAGTGCTGACTTGCCACTAGCTAAATTCCCCACAATTCCCTGGAATAAAATGATGATACATGTTGATCTATATTTCAGTTTTCTGATATTTAAAAACATATAACCAATAGTATGATTTGCATAATTTTCTTTAAACAAATAAACCTCAATCCCCCAAAAGTTTCAATGATAACATCTACGTTTATGAGAAATATAATTTATAAGAAAAACAAACAATGTATCGCAGCACACACAAATTACCAAGCCTCCTCCAAAAAAACATACTGAGAGAACACTAACGCTGCTGCACACAGCATACACAGCACAAAAGGAATGCCATGGGATGTGAAGCAATTTACAGTCCCTTCCATCTACTCCTCCACCCTCAGGCACACACTTTAATACTACAGTACTCTATGTACCAGGATGTGCTGAAATTTTAGCTCCGCTTCCCTAAGATGCCGGGCTTCCAGAACACTCTTTATTCAATGACACAATGAGACCGAGTAAAAGGCGGAGGAGCATTTATTCTATCCTTTGCACTTCTTTAAAAAAAATCAAGTTTTCATACCATGCTGAACTATTTTGTCCATTATCATCAATTACTTCAGGTAGCAATTCTGATGCAACTCCTGCTGCAGACTCAGCAGAAGAAACACTATTGTTGCATGTCACAGAAGGTTAATTTTTTTTTTGTTTAAAACCTGCAAGAAAGTGGTAGCTATACTGTTCAGTTCACTTCAAATTCTTGTTTTAAGCCATCCCTGTGGTAGCCCGTTTACTTCACTTCTGAGATGCTGCCCCCTAAACTTGTAAACAAGCATTCCCTTGTATTCAAACTCCTCCCTAAAATACAGTTCTGAAAGCGTGTGTTTAAGAGTCACCCCTTTCTCAAAAGGCGCATTACTATACATGATTTCAAGACTACATCTTTTCCTTGTTGTCCATTGTGAGTATCCACTGTTTCGTCATCCATCTAGTTCAGGATGTAAGCTCCTGGATCAGTGACTGCGTGCCACTGGATACTTTTGATGTCTGAACACAAGAG